GCAGGGGTTAGGATGTCAATGCCATTTTTTTTTTGAGGGTTCACACTTCAACCTGTAACTGTTACCATAAGGATGAAATGAGATTGTGTATTTTTATAGTCTATGTAACTGTGCCTGAAATCAACTCTTTGTCTTGCCTCGTTCTCCCACTAGCCCTGGCCCGAGGACTTGACAGCGATTCCCATCCGACCCCCGCGACCCGGAGGCTGCCGGCATCAGGGGCCTCCCTCACACGCAGCCGTGGTTCTGACGGGCTGTCGCAGACAGAGCTCACAAGGAGGACCATTCCTCCAGCGACTGTGATATGCAGAGATCTCAGGCTCAATTTCACCCCCTTCCTCTGCGACACCCGTGACTCAGCCCTCACCCCTGGAGGGCGTGGGGGCTCACCACCACCCCTCACACAAGGGCGGGGCAGGGACAGGGGCCGCACTGGCTGCAGACCGGAGTCCTGGGTCTGCCCTCATGTCACCATGGCGACACAACTGCCCTCACGGGAATCAGGCTCCCTTTGCTGCGAGAAGATGCTTGTCAAAGGGGCTTCTGCAGTAAACCCCGTGAGGTGGGAGACCAGGACGGGGTGTGCAGGGGGCTGAGGCCACGGCCAAGGTCACTTTCTGGGAACCTGTCTCCTCCTCGAAGGGACTCAGTGGTGGCTTCTCAGGACTTTTTGTTCCAGGGGGTTCTCTCTCCATTCTCTTTCAAACAGGGTCTCCTGGCCGCAGCCCAGCCGCCCGTCAGCAGGCGCCCCACCTGGGAGACAGAGGCACCGGGCGGGGGGGTGGGGCCCAAGGGTCCTGCTGGGAGGAAGAACAGAGGGAGGTTCCTCTGTGCCCCTGCTGGGACTCTGCTGGCTACAGACTGTGAGCCTCCCAGCCAAAATGATTCAGAGGGAAAGAAAGGGCCTGTGTTCCCCTAAGAACCTGGCGCTCACAAGCCTGGTGCCGGGATGTGGGGACGGCCGGCGCCCAGCGGGCGGTGGGCCAGCACGGCCAGGCCAGCCACAAAGACCGGACTGCTTCGGAAGCAGCCGGGGAACAGCCGTGGCCCACAGACCTCTGTCTGCCCCACCGGGACCTCTGGTAAGCCCACGTCCAGCAACATGCTTACCCCAAAGGGTGACCTCCAGGACATGGGGCCTCTGGTGCCAAGGCCAGAACCCCATTCTGTCCCCAGGGGCCGGTGCTGGGCCCCCCTGGCTGTCGTGAGTATTCTGAGTAGCACCCCAGGTTAGACGGCCGTGAGGGGTGTGAGGGTAAGGAATGGAGATGGGGGCAGCTGATGCCTCAGAGCTGGTTTACGCCTTGTCGATGCATTTACAAGCCCGGCGTCCACTCCTTCGGTCTTCGGGACAAGCGGCGTGGCCCCACTGGGCTCTTGGGACGCAAAGGGAGAGAAGAGGGAAGAACCCTGGAGAGAAGTCACGGACACCTCAAGCTGAGCAGGCGCAGTCCTGCCCGCCGGGGGCTAGAAGCTGGGGCGAAGTTGCTCTGTAAAGGACCGAATGGGTCTGGCCGGTCCGAGCAGGGCCAGGTCTCCCAGCAGCCTGAGACGGAGGAGACGGCAGGCGGGCCTGCGCTCCCCAGGCAGGTGGGATCCAACGGCAACCTTCGCGGGAGGTGGCGGCCGGCGGGGCCTGGCGGGGCCTGGCGGGGCCTGGCGGTGCACGCGTTTCTTGCAGAGGAAAAGTGGGCAGATGGTTTCCATTCATTCGGCCAGAAGGTGAATGGCCGAGTCCTGCCAGGACGCCCTCGGGGAGGCCTTCAGAGGGGCAGGGTGGGCTCTCGGGCTGGGCCTGTATTCTCCAAACACAGCCACGCTCTTTAAACGCATCCTTCGTGTCTGCTTGCCCCGTCCCTCTGCCCTCACCACGGTCCCTGGGCTTCCCGCTCAGTCTCGCTCTCCAAACTCCAACCTGCCCCCGACTCCAACCCACATCCTCGAGTCTCCCTCACCCGCCCTGACCCGCCCCCTCCCCCAGACAGTAAGTCCGTCCGCCCCTCTCTCTGCGGATTGCTGTGCCGGAGCTCTGACAGGCAGGCCGCAAACGTCCACGGACGGCGAGAAAGGCAGGAGCCGTTCACTTCACATGCACGAACCTGGTTTTGCCTTCATTCCATAGGCCGACACCCCAAGATTAAGACGGCCACCCACTTTTGGGAACGTTTAAGTAACATTTGCTTTGTTCACGATAGGAGGTATTCTGGTATAAGAAATGAGCAAGGAACGCCTCTAATTTTTCCCCCCCAAAGGGCTAGTTTAGTTGTCCGATCGCTGGCTTAGCATCCCGGAAACGCCCCCCTTTGCAGTGGGGCCTCGCCAGCTGGGTGGGACGTGGATCCGGGAGTCCCGCTGCCCGGTTCAAACCCCGGTTCTGCCACTTGCTGGCTGTGTGGTCTCTGCCCCAGGACTTGTCCCCGCAGTGCCTCAGTTCTCCCCTTGGATGAAAATGGGCAGGATACTACTTCATGGAGCTTTTACTAAGATTAAAAAAGTCATCACGTACAATGCAACTAACAATGCACGTGGCAGGTGTTTATAACTACCCACGATTATTCAGTACAGTACTTACAGTATCATGATTATTGTCAGTGACTAGGGAACAACGTTTAGTACCATGAAATGAAATCCTGCTTTTTTTCATTTTTTAAAAATTACTTTTAGAGAGAAGACAAAGGAGGAAAAAAGAGAGGGAGAGAAACATCGATTGGTTGCCTCTCACACACCCCATCAGGGGACCTGGCCGGGAATTGAACCAGTGACCTTTCGATTCAAAGGCCGAAATTCAATCCACTGGGCCAACTAGCCAGGACAGAATTAAATCCTCCTTGAACAACAGATTGGCCCAAGGTCCTAGCCGGGCCGAGGACACTCTGGGATGAGCCGTGTAACACGGGACGTGGAGAGACACGGAGACGAGGAATTCTCTGAACCCCGTGGAAAGGTCCATGAATTCCTGCCTCCATGCCCCCACCCCCGGCTGCTGGGTTCCTCCCCTTCCCGAATCCTGAATGGTCATCTCTTCCTCGAATTCTGTAAATACCCCCAAACCCTCCCACAAAATTGGCTTTCTTGTTGAGCGAAGAGGCGTGAAAGGAAAAGGGACCGAAAACGAATTCAGAAATAAGGCTATCAACACGCCCCACTCGGCCCCGCGCACGGATTTGCTTCCCAGATTCCCAGCAGGCCACGCCGACAGGGAAGACCAAGGGGTTTCACGGTGTGTGTCCACTGGAGACAGAACAGCCCCGGTGCTCAGGAGCCCAGCTAGTCCTGGTGTCCACAGCAGACAGGAGTTCTCCCCGGGGCCTCAGGTAACAAACAGCGTCTCTGAGACATCCCTGCGGGGGGCACGGCGGGTCAAGGGCTGTTTCTCAGCCTGTAGGATGCTTCTATAGGCTGACGACGTTACTCTCAAGCTCAATTTCACGAAATGAGTTCTGGAGCAGGGGGAGGCGTAGGGGGTCTGCACCATCTCAATCCAGGAACGGACCGAAGTTGAGGAAGAGCAGGAAGACCGTGTGCCCTCCATGCTCACCGCGGTCCACGATTACAGAATCGGGCGGCCAGAGACCTGACGGCCCCCCCAGGGAAGTGGGGTGTGTGCTCCAGCTGGACTCAGGCCCGAACCTTCCCATGTCACCCACAACAGGGCTGGGAAGGGTTGGTTTCCCATTTAGGGAGAGTCAAGGTCTTGGGCTCTGTGGTTCAAGGGTAAGAGCACGAGCCGGCGTTCTGGGCCAGGCCCTCCCTCGCCTGCTCCACACTCACTGTGATGAGCAGCCAGTCATTCCACAGCCTCCCAGAGGCCTGTCAACAGCAGGGCTCCCCGGAAGCTAAAGGGACACCTCACCAAATCGCCTGCACCCAATCCAGCACATCTTATAAGACAGACATTTGAAACCGGGTGTTTCCTGGCCAAGGACCTTGGTGAGCTTTTGAAACCACTGAACAAAAAAGATGGGGAGTGTGGACCACTGTTTCCCTTCTTCTGACCCACCGTCCCACCTGCGGACTCCCCCAGACCACCGGACTCGGTGTCTTCTCTGCCCCTTCCCCAGGCCGGCCGCCCGGTGCCCACCGGCCCTCTACATCCCAGCCCGGGATGTGAACGGTGGGCCTGGGCTTCTCCCGCCCAACCCGTGTGCCGGGTTGAAGTGTTCTCCCCAAATTCGTGTCTTCCCAGGAACCCCAGAACATGACCTTATTGGATATAAGGCTGCTGCCAACGTAATGAATTAAGGAGAGAAAGGAGAGAGACGGCCGCCTGCCCTCGTAAGCCACAGAGATCAGAACTGCTCCCCGTGGTCTGGCCTCCCAGGTCCCTCCACGCTGACCGGCAGGTCTCCATGCCCAAGCGGCCTGGGGATATAGGAAGACGCCCCAAACCTCTGAGGCCCAAGGGCAAGTTTCCCAAATCACCATCTTCCTGAACAGGCACTTCCCACGTGTTCAGAAAGAGTCAGGGGGAGGAGGGGAGAAACTCAAGTTGGGAGCGTGCCTGGTGGATGGACGGCACTCCACAGAGACGACGCTGCACTTGTATCACAAATACTCATGATCCGAAAGAACTCTCTCTTACACGCTCACTATCTGTCAGAAAGACATCGCTCAGACCCCCCAGTACGGGGCCATAGGCTCCGGGGCCTTCAGCAAACCTGAGCAAGGGCTGGGCCCCCCTGGCCCTGGGCAGGGACACACCCCTGCTTCTCAGAAAGGGCTGGAGGCCCGGGCCTCACCGAGGGTCAGATACTCACAGCTCACCCCACGGCCCGGGGCCATACGTGAGGGGTGAGTGCAGGGAGGAGCCGCCAGGTGGAACCAACACTGTTCCAGAGAGAGACCTGTTCCCAAGGACAGACACAGATGTAGGCGCTGAGCGCCAACCAAAAGCCACGTGGCCAGCTTTGCTACCCCTGTAGGTGGCACGGTGGCCAAGTGGCCAGAGGAAGGTCCCCAGCAGCCCGGCACCCACCTGGAAAAGAGCATCAATGTCTTACTTTTTCGGGAGCGGGAGAAGAACCTGATGCCGCCCGGCGAGGTGGACGAGCTGGAGGTGGGGGAGGACTCTTTGGACGAGGAGCGGAAGATGCCGCTGAAGCTCATGCGGCGGGGGGAGCGCGGCGGGGACTCCTGGTAGGAGAACGGGAACACGGTTTTGGGGGAGCTGGGGCTGGTCTTGGGCCGCGCGGGAGCCGACACGGGGCTGGAGGGCCGGTGCTGGAAGCCTCTGGAGAAGAAGCCCTTGGAGGGGCTGACCGAGCCCAAGGGGCTGTCCGCCTGCGGAGAGAGGGACACACGGGTGGGCTCACTCGGGCCTCGGCCCTGCCCTGGACCTGTCAGTGTCATACCCGTCCCTGCAGCGGCCACCGTCACGGAGCCGCTCCTCCACGGCGCCCCACCTGAGAGACAGCCCTAAGCCCTTCTGCAGACAGAGGCGGCCGCCACGGTCTAGGGAAAGCACCGGACCCTCAGGCTGGTCAGCGCCACCCAGGGGCTGAGGGCCTCTGCCCAGCTCCCTGCAGGGGCTTCCTGGAGGAGGAGGGGAGGACAGACAGACAGGCGGTGGACGTGGCTCAAAACGACGTCCTCGCCCCCCATCCCCTGCCCCCTCTAACCTGCCTGCAGGTCTGTCCCGGAGACCGCATGTTGGTCCTCCCGGGTCTGACCGCCCCAGAACAAGGTGCCGCCCTCTTCAACTGAGGAAACAGACCTCTGCAATCTGAACACAGGGGCCCAGGCTGCCCGCTGAGGGTCCCGCACTGGGAGGGACGTGTGTCCGCCTCCAAGCTACTGTGTCACAGAGAGGGCGGGGCAGTTGGCAGGGCAGGAGGGAAGGAAACAAGGCTGGGCACCTCTGAGGCTCACTGCACAGATGTGTCCCCAGGGCTCCTGGGGCAAGGACAAGGCCTGGCAGGGACTCGTCCAGCTGAGACCCTGGTGACCAGAGGTGTGCTGGGCAGGCAGCTCAGCGTCCACGCCCAGGGGCAGCCTCAGGGCCCAAGTGGGGTGCCTGCCTGGACCCCTGACCCCCGTGAGCTCCTCCACCACCAGAGGGCGTCTCCAAACTGGGCTCCAGCTTCCTTCAAGGACACGAACTTCCAGGGACTCTCAATCTTCGTCCATCTCTCTGCCATGCCCCACCCTGAGTGGAAGGACCAGCGTGGCCACCGGGAGATGCCGGGGCGGAGAGGCCGGGCCCAAAGAGAGCCACGTAACTCAAACTCACCTCCTCACAGAGGGGTTTGGGGTTCTCATTTCCTAACCACTTAATGTGAAATGCGTGTCGACTCTGTGTGTGGAGAGTTCAGGTTCACCACTCTGCCACCTACCTCTGCGACTCAGGCTTGCTGAGGCTTTGTGGAGTCCTGAGAATAACAGACAAGGAGAAGCTCTGAGTGGTGGGCGGTGTGGGCCTGGGGACGTGGTCGGGTGGCCGGAACGAAGGTGACCCTACCGCAGGTGGCACGGGCAAGGACTCTGGAGACAGAGACCGCGGGTGCAAGCCCAGCTCGGTTCCTGGCAGTGTGATGAGTGAGCTCCAGGGCCCTTGCCTATCCAGTGAGGACACTGGGCCAAGCCGCAGGGCTGTGAAGGGGACCGGGCATACTACGAGGGATACGGTCAGCACAGTCCTGGCCCACACGTAACTCGAGGTGTCTGGAGGGGAATGCAAAGTGGACCTGCCACGGTGCTGGAGTCTGAGGAAGCGGTCCTCGCCCTCCGGGGATGGGGCGGGAACAGGAGTGAGGAGGCCGAGCGTGGGTCCTGGGCAACCGAATCCGCATTCCTTCTCCTCCAGTCCTCCACCCACCACCCGCACGTGCAGCTTCCCCCCAGCCCTTTCTCCAGGCTGCACCAGGAGACCACCAGACATAGGGAACAGGTGTAGGGTGGACATGCAGGCGGGAGCACAGGTGGCCATGCAGGTGGGAACACAGATGGCTGTGCAGATGGGAACACAGGTGGGAATGCAGGTGGGAGCACAGGTGGGAAGACAGGTGGGAACACAGCTGTGAATGCAGGTGGGAGCACAGGTGGGAACACAGAAGTGTATCTCGGGCCCTTGCTGAGGGAGTCCCGCCTGGGCGGCACCTCGGGTTAGCTGTGAGAAAGGTGGCCTTACCTTACGAGAAGAGAGCTTCTCCGAACTCTCCAGGTCTCCATCCAGGAGGGGCATGGCGAAGGAGCTCAGGTCCTAGGACGGAAACAAAGCGCGTGGTCAATGACAGTGGCCCCCAGGTGCTCATCTGCCTCATTCAGGGGCTGCACACGGCTCTGCGTGTGTGTTGCCCCCCCTTCCTGATGCTCTCCAATACCAGCCATTAGGGAGGGGTGCAGATGGCAAAGGGGTGTGGTAGCCCCCCTCAGAAACCCTGACCACCCTCTTTGTTCCCTTCAGAATGGGAAGTCGCTGCCTCCGATCACCTGTTACCCGGGGAAAGGAACAGGGAAGAAGGGGTGGGGACGAGGAGTCAGGAAGGGAAGGAGCCAAAGGGAGGCGGGAGTGGAGGGAAAAGGCCCATCTTCGGGAAGCGGCCCACAAACAGCACAGTGGCTCCCAACATCATGCGGACGCTGGAGGAAGTGCCCAAGGAGCCGTGTCTTCCTGGGAAAGATGTTGGGGCCTCATGGGGGTGCAGGGGGTGGCCAGCTGGGCAAAATGACCAGTAATGCTGATGACGGAGTGGCCAGGAGGAGTGGCAATGGGGGGTGTGGAGTGGCCACAGACTGGCCATGTCCACCACGAAGGCGTCCTTTTCCCTCCACCTGCCAGGTCCACCAGCCCACATACACAAGAAGCCTCTACGTTTATCTGTGTCTTTACTTCCCCCAGCATTCAGTGATTTTCGGTGCACCCCTCCTTGCACCCACTCCACCGTGCCCAGGTCTGCCCCCTCCTTGGCCCAGCTCTCTCCCCGGCTGCCAGGTGGTACCCCCATCCTCCAGCCTCCCCTGTTCCAAGCCATTTCCAAAGCTCTACATGAAGAGTGACTCCTGAGAAAGTGAGGCGCACTATGTCTGCATGGGCCCCACCCCCAAAGCCCCGGGGACTCCGCTGTCACCTGGGCTCCCACAGCTGGTCGGCCTCCCCGGGAACGTGAGCTGACCGGTCAGTGGTGTGCCGCAGGCAGACCCTCTGGGGCTTTCCCAGACACGGCTGGTCTGGAACGCTGTCCCGACCGCCCAGACACCCCAGCTCACCGCCACTCCACCTGCTCCCAGAGCAGCCCCTCCGGGTCAGCCCGGCCTCCACACATGACGGCCCTGCTGGCCAGCAGCCTCTGGCCACTCCCAGCCCCGCCCCTCTCTGCTGGGCCGCTCCTCCAGCCCCCAAACCCTGGGTCAGGGAGAACTCTTCTGTGGGGGCAAAGCCCGATTCCAGCATTATCTTTGGCTGGTGCCCACCCTCAGGTGGAATCTCTGTTCCCACATCGACGAGAGGGCCATCAGCTGCCTGCTGCCATTCACCAACCTATTTCTCTAGCGAGACTCTCACGCCTTCAAGGGCAGAAGCTATTCATCTTGCTGTTCTCAGCCTGTCTGCCCGGCACACAGCATGTGTGTCGAAGAGTTTGACTTCACTCCTGGGAAAGGCCCCCCTGTCCCCGGGGGCCCAGCACGGGGGTGCTCAGTGCGCACCGATGAGCCGGCACCATGCCACTCAGCGCCACGCCACCCGGCTCACGGGGAGTGAGGAGCAGCGGGGTGTGGGGGGCCCATTCCCCACTGTGACGAGAACACTGCTCTCCAGTCTGAGGTCATCGAGCCCTCGAAGGTGCGTGTGTTCAGCAGCACAGGCAGAAGCCATTGCATAAAACGCTCACACACGCCTCTGCTAACAGCGCCAAGTGCCATCGTGCACCAGCTAGGGAGGCCCCGGCGGCTAAGGGACTCACGTCCACACAGCCACAAGCATGACGCCAAGAGCATGACACGGCCTGCGCCCGACTTAGGCTGCCGGTGGGGGTGCCCTGCAGCCACCTCCAACCCGAGTGGAAGTCTCAGACCCAGGGGCCGCGGAAGTGCGCCCACTCACTCCTGGGCACTGCGTGTGTGCTCGGTCAGGCATCCCCGTAGGAAAGTCCCCAGGCACGTGGGGCAGTGTTTGCTGGAAGGCTCCCACACCCCTGCATTCTGTGATTCTAATCTCCAGCGCTCACCAGGAAACAGTGCACACCTGAGAGGCCGTTGTGGGAAAATCACTCTCTATGGCCACCACCAGGCCCTACCTGGGCCAAGAACTGGGTCCCAGCCTCTCAGGCTGGCTGACAATCCAGAGGGCCCAGGCCGTGGAGCTGGCCCTGTCCGTGCGATTTCTCACCTTTCCACTCCCACCAGGGCTCTGCTTGCCGCTCCATCCATGCCTTGCCCCCTCCCCTGTCCCCTCAGTCAGCCAGCCATGCCTCCCTGGGTGCTGGGTAGGCAGGTCACCGGGCAAGGCAGCGAGGGGCGTTCAAGATGCAGTTTCTGCCAAGGTCAGTGTGATGCTCTGGGCTGGTCCCCGTGTGCGCACTATGGTCTTCACCTTGGCCACAAGCTCCGGAGAGGAGTGTCAGGGGCTCTGGGGAAGTGACACCCCAGGGCTTGCGCTGATGATGTCACCCATCAGGACAGCATCAGGACAAAAGACGAAAGCTCCGGTTTGGGAACATGCCCAAGGTGTGAGCTGACCCTCAAAGCAGCTCCTGGAGCCCCCCCTCCCTACCTCTCGTCTGAAATGCAGGGGAAAGTCAAAAGTTGATCATGAAAACGCAGGTGCCGGAGCAGAGCCGGCGCTCACGGCCACTGGCCTGTGCTTGTACCTGCCCACTGTTGCCTCATTTGGTCCCCAGAGCAGCCCCATGGCCATGCAAGGCTTGTGGTGTCTTCCCGGGGTTCGGAAGAAGATACTGAGGGTCAGAGAGGTTATGCCTCTTGCCCAGGGCCAGACAACCAGGCCCACCCACTCCTAGCTCAGAGCCCCCTCTGCCACCTCCTGGGGGTGCTCGGTGCTGGGAACAAACACCAGCTCAGTGTCAGAGGCTGTGAGGAACCAGAGAGTTTCCCATAAAAACTGAGCAACCGTGGCACGGTGAGACCTCAGGGGAAGTGACGGACGGGTGAGGATTTGAACGGTTCAATGTCATTCCCCAGGCAGCCGATGATACTAACTTACTCTTGAAGGGTTACTTCTTAACTAGGAGTGATTGAGACATGGGCGTAGGGCATCCTGTCCCCTACTCGATCAGCCCACAATGTGGCATGTCTACACTTTGTATAGTTGGGGTCTTGTTTACAGCTCCCCCTGACGTGTACCCCAACATTTCTCCATAAGATAAGAGAATGTATACTGTTCACAAGCAACCGACATGTGTGAGTTCTGGCAGAATGAGGCTGGTCTCCTCACATCCCAGCCTTGACCGAAGGGGTTAGTGCGTGTGGACCAGATGCCGTCCTGCCAGGTCAGCGTTCCTGACGCTCGGTCTTAACAAAACTTCTTTGTTGATGCAGCTGGGGTACCCCAGAAAGAGCCCCGGGGAAAGCACAAACAGGACAAACAGAGAGGCTGGCTGCCACTGCCAGGGCCCAGGTCTGCACCCGAGGGCCAGCCGGGGGGCTGAATGTCGGGGGGTCACGGTCAAACATTCCTGCAAAATTACTGGCTGTTTGATCCCTGCCGAGGAAGGAACACAGCCAGCAAGGTTTTCGCTCCCCACTCCCCGCTGAGCAGACCCAAGGGACACCGAGCACCAGTGACATCTGGAACCACCTGGGCCGTGGGACGGCTGCTCGAGGATCCTGAGACCCTGGCCGGGCATACACGAGCGCCGTGTCCCTAGGCAGGTACCAACACGACCTGTTCGCAGAGACGGAGCCAGGGGCCGGTGCCAGCCCAGCCCTGTGGTTTACTACCTGGGGGATCTTGGGCACGTCTGAAGTCAGCCTCACGCCTGTCAAATGACAGGGTTCAACCAGACAATTTCAGAAGGTGCCTTTCAGCATCCACGTCTGAACAGAGCCGCAGGTGGGTCCGGAGCCCTTTCGAGGGGCACTGCCGCGCTGAGAACACAGAACAAGCCCCTCTCCTGAGACCAGTCACCAAAAGACCTTTTCCTGCCCCCAAACCACCAGAACCACTCACGACCCTCAAAGCTCAGGGCCTCAGGGAAGGGGGATGGGGGGGGCAGAGATGAGACTTCACGAACGTGGGCAACACCCAGGGCAGGAGAAGGGCGCGCCATTTGCGGCCCCGGCAATACTTCACAGAGGAGGAGGTTACGACCCAGCTGTGCTGGTGGCTTTTTGTCTGACCTGTGTTTCCATCAGCTTATGAGTGCTGACCCTCCAGGTTCTTGAGCGATCTCTAAAGCCCCTTGTTCTTAAGCACCCAGGTCATCGGTACAAATGCCAGGTGGGTCCCAACGAACACCTGGTGTGGTCCCAGAGGAGCCGTGAGAGGCTGCCTCCAAACTGAGGGTCCCTCGGGTTCCCACATGGAACCCCCGTCCTGCCTGCCTCCCCCACTCACCGACTCCCAGCCACCGACCCAGGGCAGCTGCCCGCAGGACTCAGGCCTGTCTGTGTCTGACCCTTGGGGAAGAGGCTTGGGACCCGCCCGTGGGGGTGGTGAGGGCCTTGGCGAGCACGCAAGTGGGAGGCCCGGCAGGGTGTCTCCAGATGGACTGGCTTTGCGCAAAACCTCAGCACCACCAAACAGGCAATTCCTGGTACCACGGTGGGGGGTTGGTGACCAGAGCCACGGTCAATTGGAGCCTTTGAAAAACATGCACGTTACATAACCGCTCTCAGAAAAAAATAAGGAACAAACCCTGAATCACTGGAACTCGGCAACGGGGGCGGGACCGGGGCCAGATTTGGGGAAGCCTAAACTTAACCCTTGGGGAGACTCCAGAAGTCTTCCTTTCCCGCAGAGGACATCATGGCTTCTGCCTGCAGTCTGAGAGACTTCCTGATGCTAAAAAGAAAACCCCTATTTTTCACTCCCACGCCCCCCACCCCGCTTCCCTTACACCTAGTGGTCCCGGCTGAGTCACAGCTGGCCTACCGCCTGGCTCCACAGCCTGGCCAGTGACCTTGGGTCTTCGCCCTGGCAGTGAGCTGGGTTTTCTCCAATGAAAGACGCCCTGGGCCGTGCAGCCTGGCCCTGCCCGGGCTTTAAGGAAGCCCCGTCCCTTCCACCATTCCCAGCCCTTG